AGAGAGAGGGGGGGGGGAGAAAAAAATAAGAATAAAACAAGATTTATGGAATCACATCTCATGTATTGATTTGTCTTATAGTTTATTTCTCAAACAGTTTTTCAAAAATATGTTATAACTAAAAATGACGGAAAAATTGACTTTTATTTATAAATACATCTTATTTAAAATGATTTCATCCATTATTCTTTATGAAAAAGCACTTATATTTAGATTAAATGCCAAAATTCTATGACAAATAACTAGATGAAAAAATTGTTTTATAAAATGTCATTCAACTTCAGCCGACAATTGAGTTGAAGTGATTGAATGAAGTTTTATGTTCAGTTTGTGTCCATAAATAGCATTTATAGTGATATACACTTTGGGAATGTATGACATAAAACGGATAATTGAATAGAAATCCTTCTCTCCATTAGAAGTGAAATTTAAAACTTTAATTAAATTTTACGAAACAATTGAAATACAAATAAAACGAAAGCTAAAAAAGAAAAAGAGTGTTAAAATATTGCCATTTTATAGGTTACTATTCGTGGATAGTTTGGTAGCCTCGGGAACGAACCCATCGTTTTTGTTTATTAAAAATTTAATTGAAAATAAAAAAGTTCACGGATTTAAAGCCGAGTCAATGCTCACTAAACTCTCGCTGAATATCAAAGAGCCGTCCGAAACACTATTTGACGAATACTTTGTAAGCATTTAGACGAAAGCTCACAATTTTTGTGTTCAATATATTTATATAACGACAGAATTTGAAGAGGAATTTGATCTAAAATGTCATGTAATTTGTAATTCACAGCAACTCTGCACGAGTATTGCCGTTCAGGAATCGGCTCGACTCAAGAGGACGTGTTATTTGACATTCAGTGCACTCGTAGGCAAAGAATGCGTTCAACGATTCAAAGCCACACCAAAGCATACACACAGTCATCACCGAAAGGAGCATAAAGTGTCCGATAATAGTAAACATCATTGCAATCCAGAAGTTGCCGGAAAATACTATAAGGTTTTGGAAAGGCTTTGAATTATTCATCGCTTTATTTAAATAAATATTTTGAATGACAATTACATGAAAATCAAATCCATGTTTTAGTTACTAATATCGCAAGAATTTGGACCAGAAATCACTACTAAAGACACGATTTTGTTGTTGAAAACTATTGGAAATCTAAAGCCCAAAGAAGCGATTCCTTTCCTTAAGGCATACATCAGGAGCTCTCACACGCATTACATTCGGTCGACTGCTATCTGGAAACTAATGGGAATGGCGTCCAACTATCCGGAAGAAGTCCGATCCGTTTGTGTTCCTGTGTTTTATAACAGATCCGAAGAGCAAGACTTAAGAATAGCGGGTCTATTGGGTTGGCTATCGTCTGGACCCAGTTTTGCACAGTTGCACGTAATTTGAGAAACAATACTAAAACTGATTTCTGGCATCTAATATAATATATTTTAGTTGATTGCGAAACAACTGTTGATTGAAGACAATCGCCAAATAGTGAATATGGCCTACACTTCAATCAAATGGTTATCAGAGTCGGAACATCCCTGTCATAAGCCATTGTAAATATTGAACATTATCTCAAATACTGTGCATTCAATTAGTTTATTATTTTGACCCAAACTTCATAACAGTGTTAAGGACTTGCAGTCCGTTTTATGGCTATATAAGATTGCATTTGACAGACAGGGCGGACGAGTGAGAAGAGGAGACTCGAGATCTTATATCAGATCCATATTTGACGGCAAGACATAACTACTAATTTTTGATTCCTTGAATAATAAATGATTTCTTGTGAGTGATTGCAGAGCAATACGGAATCGGAGGAATACAACACTTGAGTATAATCGCCAGTAATAGGAGTTATGTCCCGAACTCAGTCTACATAACATTCAGCGATTTCATTGCCGGACAATCATTTGAAACGTTTAGTCTCACAATACAGAGCTATGGACTCGAAAAACTAATCGACCGTTTCTTCGGCAAAAAAGGGGTGGTTTGGGGCAAAAACAGTGTTTTTGATGTATTCAAAAAGCGGACCGTTAGGGACACCAACCCAGTCGACGATGAGCTTAAACTTATCGATGAAAACGTATAAATCGCTACTTAATAGACATTAAACATTTGAAATTATTGAAAATGACATCTCATTTCATATTCAGATGCATTTTGAAAATCGAGAATCGGAGATAATAATTGGCGACATATCGCTATATAGTCAGGGATATACTATCGCTTATATCGATTTTGATGAACAACTCTTCTCGTCTGTACTAAAAGAAGGCAAGGAATACATTATATGACTATTTTATAAATATAATGCATTTTTAGGTGCGATAAGTATACTCGACATTCAAAAGTTGTTTGACATGAATATTGGAAACACAAAACACAGATATTTCACGCAATCGGAGAACCGTATAGTTGTCCTGCGGTCTGAAGTGGGAATTCCGTATTTCTTTGAATACAAGACTTTAACGCAAACTAATCTGATTAGCAATAAATTGAGTTTCGGAGTACAGCCGGCGCTCTTCAGCCAAGACCGCGATAATAGACCGCCGACTGAACTCAGGCTTAACACCGACTTTAAATATGTCTCAAATTCACACAAATATGCCATAACTGGCATACTTTTGCCGGTCACCACAACTAAGGGTAAGATATTTGTACAGTACTAGACATTTACACATTTATTTTATATTAAACTATCAATATTTCTCCACAACAGCTGGTGTCGGCATTTATCGCAAAACATTATATTCATTGCCATTAAATTTGAATTTAAATTATGACATAAAGAATAGTAAACTTGAAATTAAAAGTTTGCCGACGAGTGAAGATATTTTCTATGATAAAGTCACTCCCTTTACATATTTGGATTCGTATGCAAACAAAATACCTTTGATAAGCGAAACAACATTTAAACCCATTTATACTGAAAATCATTTAAGAAAAGTATTGATTTTTGATACAATAAAACAAAAATATTGATAAAATAATTAATTTTACAAACAGATAGAAAAAAGTTATTTGAAAGACTATTTTGGTTTTGGATTAAGTATTGACGGAAGCGTTCGGAAGACTGATAAAAGCGAATGGTTTCGACTCTTCACTGAAAAGTCTTGGCCTCAAAGGATTACGTTATACCGAATGCAACCGATGGCTAATCCCTATGAAATGCGAGTGAGAACTACGGCATTGGCAGAGAATGCGTCCACACAGTTGTCAATAACGATCTCTTCAGACCATAATATGTCAGACATAAGCGATTTGATTGCTTTCAGCGCTGATGAAGACTCGCATTTCAAAGATTACACATCACTTAAGCAAAAACGAGCCAAAAATCATTCATTAAATGTAAAGATCTCCAGTTTGGGAAGCATTGAGCGAACAGTAAACGCCAGAATTCAATACATGTACTCCAGGGACAGACTTTTACATAAAGTGAATGTCTATTATGACAGAAGTCCGGCTAATGATAATGGATTCAAAGTGTGTGCCGTCGCGTCAATGATGTTTCCCGGCTATGATTTAAATAAATTTGTAAAACTAGACACTTTTGATTTGGACCACACCGTCAACACCACCACCAGAATAGCATTCGGACAGAACTGCAACAATCGCTCAAAAATCAATTTTATGGCACAATTGTCTCAAACGGATGAACAGAAAATGTTTGAGAAAAACAGGGATAAAGTGAATGACGAAAAACCCAATCCATACGCGAATAATTATAACTATTGTCTCAATTCATTTAAATTCAAATACGACTCCTTTCCCTATTGTCACCGATATCTGTACCCAATAACGCAAATGAGAAAACTTGTCTTTTCAATAGATTACGAGAATATATCGCACAAAGTTGCAAATAATACCCAAAAATTGTGGCAATTCTTGAGCCGTAAACAAAGTGTATATTCAGATATGAGCTTTAGGTACGGAAACGCAACTCCCGGTCACATAGACTTTGAGAGCAATACATCGGTTTCGACACAGAAAGTCGATTACAAGCTAACGGCTCCCTATTATACACAGCATTATAAAGATGTTCCGCTTCCACAATATTTAATGCCTGTCTTTACCTTTCCTTTACATGATTTACAATACCATCGAGTGCTCAGAAAAGTTGTCAAAAACCGTAAGAATTTCTTTATTTAATATTGGAATACAATCTCTAATACCTTTTGATCCGTATTTCACAGCGTATTGCATAATCCAAGCAAACATTGTGCAGACCTTTGATAACGTATCGTATAGTTTGCCAAATATTGATTCCGAGTGTTTTGCTGTCGTTTCCAAAGATTGCTCAGACGAACACAACTTTTTGATTTTAGCCAAAAGGCATAACGAGAGATCAGAAATCAAAGTATATTTGGGCCACAAATATAAGATTGAATTAATTCCTGCAGAACAGGGATTAACAGTTCGCGTGAACGGCGAGAAAGTAGTCGTCACTGAAACGGATCCGTTTGAATTAAATGCCAAAATTGGCGATAAAGACATTGAATTATTTGTTATTACATACAATGGACTGTATTATGAATTGAATTCAGAAGAATATGGCATAAGTGTTGGCACAGATGGCTATGGATTCAGGACAGGAGCCCAACGATACTATTCGGGAAAATTGTGCGGATTATGCGGTGATAATAATGGAGACGCGACTCACGAGTACAGGGCTTCCAATGGAAGAGTATTTTTAAATTCTGATCCATTTTCCTATAGTTATGTATTGAAAGATGACAACTGTGTGCCGTCTAATGATTGGCAAACTGATAATCAAATTATTTAAAAATTTTAAGTTTATTAAAAATACTAATCATTTTTTAAAACTCATTAAAAAATTGTAAACTAAAATCAATGAATATTTTGCATGTTTTGTATATTTAGTCCAAAAAGCAATCAATTAGATATACTGTTCAAATTGATGTAAGTGTTGAAAGCCGAGTGCACCACACTTAGCACCGGCCACCTGACAGCCCAATACAATGGCCTCTTTTAATCCATAATTGAGAGCATATAAACCAAAGAGTGTTGCACTCAAGAAGGTATCGCCCGCTCCTAACGTGTCCTGAACGCCGGTTTTGGGTGTAAATGCCGGCGAAGAATGTATGCGCTTATCGGTGTTGTCGATGGCCTGAGCGCCGGACTCACCCCACGGACAGATGACCAGTGCGTTGGGCTGTACTCTCTCTGCGATACCATTAATGGTCTCTTCGAGTGTATTATAATTCATGAGTTTCGCGAACTCTCGCTCCACAAAAAATATATCGATGTCATCATTGAGTAAATCTTTCAATGAGTCGACAGCTCTCTCCAACTCAACACTTATTTTAATTTCTCGCTTCAAATCCTTTTGGCGCACATATGCTATCATTTTCCTGATCTCCGATACATTTCTCAATCCCTCGAAATGAATGGCTTTATATTTGTTAAAACATAGCTTTGAAAACGACTCGCACTTCAATTCTGGCAAATTTCTATTTAATTTATTTAAACGGTTAATATATTTGGGAAAAATTTTAATTAAATATAAATACTTATTGAAGTGGACTATAGTTCGCGACCCGTTCTCGGCATTTATGATGACAGTAGAGGCCGGACATTGACTTTCTTCATATCTCACTATATTCTCGATTTTTATTCCGTTTTCATTGAAGTCTTTTATCAAAAAACTATTTTAAAAATTCGGTAAAAAGAAAATTAATATTTCTCTCTCTCTCTCTCTCTCTCTCTCTCTCTCTCTCTCTCAACGAAAAGCTGTTAAAATATTATGGTTATAAATAATAATAAATTCTACTATTTTATAAAAACTGAGAGAAGATATCAAATAATAAGATAATAAAACATTTTAAGCGCAGAGAAAAAGGTAAAAGTTGTGAAAAATATTTGTATAGTTTATGATTCACTTAATCTAATGTCAAAAATACTTCAAGTCTTATAATAGAATAGACTTTCAATAAGAGAGTCGACTCTCCATTCAATTCAATGAAATGTTCAGTCGTTTGAATCAATCAATCAATAAAATGCTATGAATTGAGAAAAATAACACATTCTTTGCTGAATATTTGGTGGGCATCTCATAACACATCAAACAAATACACAATTATAGCAAATACTGAATCAAATATAAGTTAAAATAAGTGTTGACAGACTCGGAGGGAAAGTCGTGAGCAATGGTGCCGAAGAACTCGACCTCATAGTCGTGACAAGACTTCCACTTCAAGAGTTGCATCAAAGCTGTGCTATTATTGGACGCATTGCCACCTCTTCTCCACGCGTTATAAACGGCTCTTTTGGACAAAAAATTTAATATAAATTCAAATTCAATTCAATTCGTAAAAAAAGAAAAGTTATTTTTTTCAGACTTTTTAATATAAACTTATTTTCAATATATTCTCAATCTATTCAAGGAATACAATGAATAATATAAAAACGATTTGTATCTCAAACCCAATGACACCTTTGATCGGAATCTTCTTCGGGAAAATGATTGCAAACATAAACCATATCAAGACATGAGAGGCCGACAAATAGTATGCGATTCCTCTTCTCATCCATCGTTTCCATCACTTCTTCGCAATAAATATCACTTTTATTTGCAAATATTGTCACCAAAAAAATTCACAACTTTTATAAATACAGTAGATTTGTGTCTTTCCACACTATTATGCCGTCAAGTATTAGATATACAGAACTTTTAAACCTATGGTAAAAATCAAATGAACTTAAATTTTGATTGAAATTAATTTTATTTCAATGTTTATTTATGTTAAAACAACAAAAGTCACATGATCATTTTTTACACTAGATACTATTAATAGTGAATAGTTAATACATGGCAACACTGGCTACTATAATAAACTTATTTAAAATAACATTATCAACATTTATATTTATATGAATTGATGATAAATTTTTATTGATTAACTAATTTTTATTAAAATAAATGGTTAGTAATCACTATTAGTGTTATGTTTGAGATTTGAATTGAATTAAATAAATACGAAAACCCAGAGGAGTGTTGTTTCACTGAAACCAGTTTACATTAAACAACTTCACGCATTACTTATGTTACTTTTATTGGTAACACTGTATTACACATTGAATAAATACCCCTGGTTCATCGGTTTCAATTAAATCATTTAATTTAATTTAAATGTCACATCTAAACATTGTAATTAAAACATGCAATAAATAACAATTAGATTTTATTTGATAAATACTGTATATCACAGCTCTTTGAGTCCAATTAATTGATTAGCATTTAAAACTCGTCGAATCAACTGATCCTTAAATTTCCAGATAATGTTATCGACGGTGGAGTACTTCATGAAGTTGTCTCTACACTCGACACGCATAGTGTCGGGACAGACATCTCGAT